GTTGCCGCAATGCCGCGCGCGGCGGCTGGCCCCCTCGAGCCACATTGCGCCCTTTTTATCTATATGTTCACGTTAACAAGAAAACGAGGAATGAACCGAATAGACATTTAGTAAGGCCTAGAAAACCTCTGCCTAAAGAATATTTGAGCATCCTGTGGTGATGTTGGTTCTTGGTTATGTTAATGTATGGCCTATAAAATGAACACAAAAAATCGGAAGAAATCGGCCATGTACGCAGAAAATAAATCTAAAAATGAATAATCTGGATGTGGCATACACAGTTGCCACAATGTCCAATGAGGCGCAAAAACAGATAGTTGCCGCGCTGTCACCAAGGTGTTAACAAATCAAAGCAGAGTGCCTTCCATGCAAACAGATTATAAGCATGGAAGGAAATGAATAATTTGAGATGTCGCTAACACATTCACGACGGCGCCCTTTAGCACTATATATCTAACATTCTCATATCAAAAACATGCAAAATTGCGACAAATAAGTAGGGGGAGGGCAATTTTTAGCTGGCAGCTCATACGGGCTGCCACCTACGTCCATGTGTTAGGGCAAATAAACTGTACCTCCTTTTCGGATCAAAATTTCGTTATTTGATAATTCACACCAATTGAACAAACTGAAAGAACAGACGCAAATGAACAACCGAATACGTCGGTGTTTGCTGGGACGCACTACCTCGAAATGGAAAGATTTTTAGACTAGACATTTACTTACTAACACAAATAATAACATGTCAAATAAAAGTCACATCAAACTATTCCGTCGTACTACAGGTTGTAATGTGATGGCTACGGGGCCATACACCACGCACGCAATCCAAGGATTAACCATCCGAGTCTCTCATCCTTTCTTCATCGATTAACTCTTTACTAATTTGCCCAAGAGGATCAATTCGCTGAAATTGTACATCGACGACCCTTCGAAAGAAGTTGTATAACATACCGAATCGCATTCAGAAGCCACTACTGTTTTGAAACAAAGCAGAACACGCGGCGTGTCCCAGAGAGAAATTAATCAACTCAGTATGCTTACTCATTAGTTGGCAGCGGAGACGAAGTATGAGGAGGCGAGCCAGAGGACGACCTTGTCGTTTTGTCAAGCGAAGCGATCATCTTCAAAAGTTAGATATGATCCGGTCAGTGCGGTCCCGAAAGAAGTGATCAATTTTCCTTCTAATCACTTTTTTTTCAATTTTTCTACTACATTTGGCTTTACTTGAGTCACAAAATTTTGAAAACAGCAGATCGCTTAAGGCTGGTGTCAGAGTCCGCGATCCGTCGCAGGTTTCGCTGATTTCAGCGATTTGCGCGATTTCAGCGATTATCGCGACGGGTTGCGGTAACACAAGTGCCGTTTAAATTACTGCCTCTCTCTCTTCCCCTTCTCCAATGCTGCCGCACTTCTGCTTGATAGTGACGGCTGAATGACAACTGCCCTCATGATTCCACTTGTTTGATATTCAGTGTTTCAATTGTTCAAATGGGGCACTTGCAATTTTTGCGATCCGAATCATGAGCATTTCAATGAACTGATAGACATTGAACATGAAACAAGTAGAATCCACGAACAGTCGTCTTTCAATCTTCACTGTCAAGCAGAATTCGCAGCAGGATTAAACAACACCTCGCAGTATCACTCATCACAGGGGCACTTCCAACTCCTGTGATCCATCGCAGGTTTCGCGCAAATCGCGAAATCGCGAAATCGCGAAAATCGCGCAAATCGCTGAAATCAGCTAAACCTGCGACGGATCGCGGACTCTGACACCAGCCTAGAGCTGTAATCTCTGCGCGCGCAAAACGTGGCTCTGCAGCTCAAACCAAGAGCATATTTTTCTGATTGACATAAGTGGAAGTTCACACGTACCTCAAGGACTTCATAGATGCCGCTGGTTGCATCTACATCGTATGAATGTGCCGGTCTTTTCAAATGACGCACGAGATGTGAAACCTAAACTCTTATAACAATAGTATTTTGTTTTGTCGCAAGAAAAGGTTTAAAAACGGCTACTCTGAAAACTTGGTTTTGTTTGACAACTGCATTGCAATAATACCACAAGGACATCATATTTTGAGCAATACCCTTAGCCTCAACCGGTCTCTTGACCCGAATCTCATGTTCGAACCACGGCACCAGGACTTGCCATTTCTTCATCACCTAGACCATGTTTCTTTATTTACGCTTACAAATGAAAACATATTCACCAGGAAAACTGGAGTTAATTAGTACTCCTCACCAGTCCTTTTTTAAAATGTGCCTCCCCTAACCGTTTTCCATGATCGAAATCCGCCTAAAGCCTTCCTAACGGACACAGAAAAGGGAAGCGGGGACAGAGCAGAAAAGGGTGGTAATGGACTGGGAGACGAGGTCAGTACTTCGGTTCACCTGGCATTCAGCTGCCGTTTGGCAGCATCCGAGCGATTTGAAGCTGAGGGGTCTTTTTTGTCGTTCTTTGAAATGGAGGAATTTCTGAATTTTTAACGTCAGTTACGACAAGAACATCAAGTATACGAAATTATGCGGAAGCTGAATTTGCCGATTCGGATAGCTATTCTCTTCCCATCCCCCGCCCGCCCACACTCCCCCACCTCCCCGCCCACCGCTCGATGGTGATTATGGTGATTTTGAAGTGAATTGGGCGGCGTTAGAGTATGTCACCGCGTACCAATTCAAATTCTATAGAAACAGCCATGGTGATGGAGGTGAGGGTGGTGATGTCGAAAGTCATGTGGGAGACCGGGGGAGAGGGATAGTGAAATTTTTCAGAAATCGGCTGAAAGTGAGGTTGACCCTGTCTCCTTTTGCAGCAGCGACAGGTGCCACCGTGTTTTTTGAAGGTTATCGCAGATAAGACCATTTCAAGCAATCCTTTTAATGCATAACATAAATCGAGAAGACAGTAAAACAGGGATGACACCTCCAATGTGAAAGGTTCAGTAGTAGCGCCCTCATGTGCTAGGGTAAATCGCGTGAAAAGTCACTTTTTCCGCCACTGTCAAAAAACCATCGCCAAAGTACAAATGGCTTATGCAACGATGTCCTTTGGCCTGCATCGTGAATTAACGGCAAACGTTATTTAACTAGGTCCTCTCCTAGAGTTCAGCGTTGCTTGAGGGCATTATTCAACTATACTTTCAACGTCTGTGTCAATGAGGTTTTTTCAAGTGAATCGATAAATGTTTGCCTAAAGTGCTGCTGAACTCACCTCCACGCCTCTTCCGAAGTCATCGATAATTTTCTTGGCTTCACGTAGAAACTCCTCGTCCTCAGATGGCTCATCGTCTTCTTGTTCCATTTCTGAAACTAAAAATCATACAAATCTGAAAACGGAAACCGACAATGCCGCACAATGAATTTTTTTTTTTTTTTTTTTTTCTTTTTTGTCCCGAAAACTATTCTCTTTTAATATTCCATCCTTCAAATAGAATACTTTTAATGCACTCTCGAAAATTCCTCAGAGTCATGCTGTGTCTAAAGATTTTATAGTGAAGTATTGGAAGTGAACTTGCTGCCTCTAAAACTTCGCTTTTGAACTAAAAAATCATAATAGCGCTCCGAAGACCTTGAAAATTGTGCTCGGAAAACCGGAATACGTAATTCTGCGATTGTTTTGCTTCTACAAACAAGATAATGTTAAGCTTTCACATTATTTTCCGAGAGTATGACTCACCTGGGACGGTTCAGTCGTATTTGGTCGAAAGACTTGTCGAATCGATCGATTCGAATGAATGACGTCGAGTCTCAGTTCGCGCGTCAACACTGATGACAGCACCTCCGAGGCCAGCACCGAAACCCGGCCGGGTCAGGGTTTATCGAGCCCTCTACGATTATGAAGCCAGAACGGTGAGTATTATCATGAAGCAGAAGTTATTGCGCAAAACAGAATAAATTGTGTACAATTACAATGCAAAAAATGAACATGCAAATAAGGTAGCAGTCGGGAGGGGGGGGGGGAAGCTCAAGTGAAGCTTCGTTTTGATGAATTCAACGCGTCTTTTTCTTGGCGGTCACATTATATAAAAAGTTTCGTCACTACTTGCGCACTCCTTCGTTAATAAGAGATTTCCTCTTTAGTCGAAAAACTTCGAGAAATAAAAACGGAGAGTGAAGTTAGTGAAAGGGAAAAGCTGTGAGATTCAAATAGTTTGTAAAATCTTAAAATTTAGGATCAAGAGATGAGTTTCGCCGAGGGGGATCTGCTGTATGTGAGCGATAGCGGACCAAATGACGATTGGCTGCCGGCGGCATGTGGCGGCAAAAAAGGGCTCGTGCCAGCTAATTACGGTCGGTTCCGATGCTTTTCGGACACTTTGGATGTTTTATTGTGATTTTTTTTTTTTTTTTTTTTTTTTTTTTTTTTTTATTTTTTTTTTTTTTTCTTTTTTTATGTATTTTTTTATTTATTTTTTTTTTTTTTTTTTTTTTTTTTTTTTTTTTTTTTTTTTATTGTGGGCTTCTCAGGGAACAAATGCTTCCTTTTTGTCCTTTTACCATTTTTTCCAAATGCTTCTCGTGTTACATCTATTTTTACGAAGTTCGAAAATAGAGGCGTGGGCGGAAGTGGAGCTGTACTACTACTGCAGCCGTAATGCTGTATCGATATACGCCTTAATTACCAGCTAAGCCTCATCTGCGCGCAGCACGTGTTTCGAGCTTTAATGCTTGCGTTCATACCTTTGCGATATGTAAAGAGGAACTGCTGCCCGCTACTATACTGTCACGAGAATCGGGGAATTTGTGAGTCAGGAGGAGTGTAGCCAATCTAAACCGATGTCATAGTTTGCGAATCGAGCGATTGGCTAGCGAATCGCTGGAGCCGAGCGTTGCGCCAGCAACAGCTTGTCCATGCAGCTTCTATCAAAAGCGGCGGCACTTCCGGTGGCACGCCTACCCTACCTCCCAGATATCGACTGTATATTGAGGTGGGCCATACTACTAGCCACTTGAAATACTTGAATCTGCCTTAACTCGAAAAGACTTTGACTTACTAACGCTCTCGAATAACTGAATAAAAGTTCCACCTGACAACCTCAGGTGGAACTTTTATTCAGTTATTCGAGAGGCACAGAAGTACTAACACATTTACAACTTGAATCTGCGCCTAAAATCACTAGAAATGTCTGTGAAGGGGGAGTGGGAGATGGGTGATATAGTACGCTCAAAAATTAATATTTTGGGTGAATTCACAAGAAGGATAAAAAAAATCTTCTCGAGAAATCTTTATTTTCCAATTCCTACTTCGTCTCCCCGAAATGCACTGCCAATTTCCCCCACTTCGATCGCTTACCCAATTGTACGACTTCCTATCCGAGATCTTTGACGTAGAATTACCCTGGTATGAGCAGAGCCTCTGCGGTCATGAACAGTATTGAGAACCAGATATGGGAAGTAGTAGCGATATCGAGAGAAATTGCAATCCACGCGAACTCAAATCTCAATAGGTGTCGCCTTCACAAA